TGTGAGAATGACAAGTACTTCAGCAGTAGCACCCCGAGGTACCTGCTTTTAATTCCAGCAGGTTTTTCCCAGTTCTTATGAAGGGGTACTGAAATGCACAACTCAAACACTAAGAACTGATTGCATTAAAAAGTTTGACAAGAGAAAACTGAGACACACAGAAGCAGATTTCTCTCCCAGGAGAAATCCCATCTGCTTGGAGACCACCACCGCTACAGATCTCACTGCCCTAGTGTACCTTTTAAGCTGCAACAGTCATTTAGCTGCACATCTTCAGCACAGCATTCTGCTCTTTGGGTTTAAACCAGCCTTCTTGACACTTACATGTCCTTCCAGCATGGTCCACCCTGCTGCCCCATTACTAATGACACTAAGCAAGCAAGCCAGTCATCACAATAATTTCCATTTTGGCTAAGCTGGCAATTGGCAACAGTGAGGCACCCAGCCACAGAGTAGCAGCGTCTGCATAGTACTTGTCCAAAGGGCAGCACATTGTGCTACTTCCATGTAATTCCTGCTCCTTTTGTCCCCCAAAGCAATGAACGCATTCAAGAACAGGAAAGGCAAGCAAATGAGGCTACAGCCATTGCAGGTGTCAGCCACACTTCTCCTTTTCACACCACACCCACAGCACGTACCTGGCAGCAGCAGCTTCCCAGAGGGAGCCTAAGAGCTCCCTGAATTCATAACTGAACTACTCTTCTCCTGAGACAAGCAGCTGCCCTTTATGCTATGTCAAGAGACTGACAGTACGTTAAGCAGGAACCAGCTCCATTCTATCAGCTCCAGACAGTGCAGGTACAACCCACAAAAGCTGCCATTCAGACAGAAATGCACTATCTACCTTGTACTGAGACCAGGAGCAAAAATTTAAGTATGTAGCCCCAAAGGCCAGGCAGCCAAATCCTTAAGATTTTTATTCAATAGCCTCAGGTATTAGCAAGAAAGCTATTTCAACTCGAAAAGTCAGTGAGGTCCCTGGATACTCCTGCTGTTCATATTCAGGTTCCCTCTAAAGAGGGAGTTAAAGTAAAGATACGCCCAAAAGCTTCACATCAACTCTGTGTCTAGTAGCATGGTCTCTATTGGAAGGAATCCTCAAAAGAGGAACAAGACAACTAAACTTTGTGGTCTTAAAGGAGAAGAAACCAATAAACTAATTTTTTAGGTTAATATCTATGGAAGGAGGAACCACACAGGACTTAGCAAAAAATCAATTCCTTCCTAAAGCTCTTAATGAACTTACAATCCTGTAATACCTGTCAGTCATAGCATACTCTGCACTGCCTCTTCCCACTCTAGGAAAGTGAGCAGAGTAGGGTGGGTTTTGTTTTGTTTTTCAGTTTGTTTCAGGGGCAGAAGTCATGGTGGTGTTTGCATTGCACCCAAATAGCCAGGCAAGCACTTGAAGGCCTCAGGTGCAGCGCTATAAATCCCTCACAGATGCTATGTTGCTGGGCACATGACTCACGATGCACCTCCATCCCTGTCCAGGGTTGCAGTGGAATGAGACATCGATGACTCAAGACTGTACTCCAATTTTGAAGTCCTTTAGTGCCATGTTCCTCTGCTCAGTTTCACAGCATTCCAGAGAATGCAAGATGCTGAAGTCTGACTAAACTGAATAAATAGAGTCCACACAGTGGCACTTCTGTTATTTTGTTACCTCCTGTTTGCAATTTATCCACCCACAGATCTGCAGTAAAACAACAATTGACTGTATCCTGGGGACTGCCAGCACAGAAGCCCAAGGCTTTGGTGCCCAAGAATGTAAATTCCTGTTTGCAGGACAAGTATATTGCCCAGATATTAAGCAGCCTCCCAAAGGTTATACTAACCATATTCATGCCATCTTCAGATTTAATAGCCAATGGGAAGTTCACATTTCAAGACTGAATTAAGTTTTAAAAGTCAAGCACAGTCTTTCAGTTTCACGTATCTGAAATAAAGCTGTCTATAACCATGCAAACTGTTTGTGATTTTTTTTGTCTCTGTTTCTTTTTTGTTATTTTTTGGGGGGTTGTTTGTTTTTTTAATCTAGACCTATCCCAGGTCATTTTTAAAGCAATGGAAGATTAGAGCCCATGCCTAGACCTGTTAGTATCTTGACTCTGATCACCTTAAGTAGGGCAACAACAAACTCTGCAATTAGAGCTCATTTCTAAGGGCAAGGGAGCTGACCCAATTTTGCTTGCGACAGCATTCTTTGGTCACACTATTAAAGCAAAGCCAAAGAAGCTGAAGACTGTAGCTGCTTGCCTGACATCTACCAAACCTGCCCTAACCAAGACGTTCCCAAGCAGAAGGGATGTGAGAGTTGTGGCTAGACTAAATGCAATTTGTGCAATTTCACTGCATTCAGCACACAGCATTCCCTCTTGAGCAGAGCATGCATGTGGTGACCAAACCACCACATCTTTATATGATATATTGATCCATTTTACGCAGATTAGTTATGGTTCTTGGAGGGACTCTGTCACTGTAACACTTCAGGTGATAGAGGGGAGGTAGAAAACATATTTACCATGAAAATTTAAGGAAAAAAATCCAGAAAGTTGATACTTACATGGAGTTAAACATTCCCATCAAGGCAGTGAAGCAGAAGCCAATGGCAAACATGGATTTCATCCGAACCTGCATGCAGAAAGGTCAGAGATAATCAAAAACAGGCCTATACTGAGGGATTATCGGCTCATACCCTTAAGAACAGGCTTTGTACCACATCACTGGAATACAGAAGGAAAAAAGATGACCCCGAAGACCAGAGGGACTGTAAGAGTGACTGGAGAACTCCCAAAGAGAAGTTTGGTCAACAGCTGGGTAAAGGCAGCCACAGAGCAGACCACTAATGTGAAGAGCTGCTTTAGGGGAAAAAAGTGCTCGAGAATTGCCCTGTTACCTTCCACAGGTTGATTCCCCACCCCTTAAGCCTATACAAGCAATCAGCAGGGGATCATTATGAAGACAGAACTTACAAGAGGCAGTCAGACAAATTAATTCTACTTTGAAAGCATCATGGAGGCTTATAAAGATGAAAATAGATAAGATTGGGCACAAGAAGATGCAGTAACTGCTGGAGAACTCTGTGGCTCATACAAAAATCTTTAGCTATTAGAGATAATCCAGAAGGACCTGTCAGGAGGAAAAGCTGCTATGTCTGCCAATTGAACAAATCTTTCTGTTAGAAAGCTAACTGAAACCTTCAGCAGTCAGGATCTGGCTTTAATTTTCTTACCATTGACAAGTCCCTGTTGTTATTCTTCAGTTTCTCTTCTTGTCTCTCTGGAAAGACAAAAACAACAACAGTTATAATCAGTTATACCAACCTAGAAACCAGAGTGTTTTCATTTCCAGGAAGACTTAACCTTCTTGGCTCTCCAAACAAGTAACACTTCCAAAACCAACTCCAGCTCTCTATGCCTGACAGCATAAAGTGAAAAACTGTACATAGCCAGCTGCTTCTCCATCACAGCAACATGCAGCAAAGCAGGCACAAAAGAGGAGGAGGCTAGAATCACACATTCAGCACTTTTGAAAGAAATGCACAGAATGTCAAATTTGCTAACTCAACCAACTAACACAGTAGCACGAGCAATGTTGCCAGAAAACAAAGACAGTGCCTCTATATCACACTTCCGAAAGAGAGCAGTCTCAATTTGCTGCACACCAGGATCGCCATTATAAATACATTATATAAAGGTTTAATTTTGGAGGTGTTAGAAGGGACCCTGAAACTGTACACAGAGCTGGGAGCAGGACCTCAGTGAGGTTAACATCCTGCTGATCTTAATAATGAATTTTGGACCCTTGTCACACCTAAAAGATTCTCCAAAGAGGAAAGATGTTTTCTACATTAATTTCAGTAATGTATATATTACTATGCTTTGTAGAGAATACTTTAAAATAGTACTTTGGAAATTTAGTCTGTCCTTAAGTCATCACAAACAGCCCAGTTCTCTGGGAAGGCATTTTCCATGCCCCTCACTGAAGGACTGCTCTGGCCTCAGGCATTACCCATCACCTGTCACCTTTCTTGTCCCATGTCCCCATCATTCCTTGTCCACTGTGCTCCCCTCAGACTGAGGACCCAGAGGGGCAGCCAGGGCTTGGAAGCAACACCTAGCTGAAGTAAAGATGTGGACAATGAAGAAATATCCAAAGAACAGTGAGTGAAGAAGGCAGGGGATGCTGGAGGACTGTCAAGGGATATCCAGCATGCGAGTTGTCCAGTGGATCCCCGATGAGCGTCAGCACAAGAGGCCCACGGCAAAGAAGCTCAACAACTATCTTCCAAGCCCCTGCTAAATACAGAGACTTGCACTAAGCATTGTAAAAAGCAACAGCAACACCCCTATCCAATTTCTTAGAATCCTCACTGCTATTTTCAATTGCTTCTAACTACAAACCATCCCCTCTGGCAGGAACTTTCCAGACACCTGCTTCCTGACCCAGGTGGAGAGTTTTGTTCTGGGACATTTCAGCAACCACAGCCCAGCTCTTCAGGAATCACATTTGGCACAAATACTTGTTTTTTCCCCTCTGCTACATAACTAACCACCTATTTAGATGGGCTAAAGGTTACACGGGGATAAAGAATACAGCCCTGATCCCCCAATATACCCATTTCTCACCTACTTCTGCAAATTCAAAACAAACAGGCTCTGGGTGTCCTACCACCTTACATAAATGGTCTGTTCCTTCCCCAGTAGCACAAGCATAATTAACATAAGCAGCATTTAAGGACTTTGCCATACAGCTGGGTAGAGGCACAGAAAGAGGACTGGGTCAACAAGCAGCACCCTGAAGTCTAAAAACTTATTCTGCTCATTGGAACACAAACCATGAGGATAGAGCAATAATATTTGCCAACGTTGGGGTTTTTGGAGGTTTTTTTGTTTGATTTTGTTTTGCTATCTACTTGGCCCTCATGTAGACTCCTGGGAACATCACTGTCTTTTCTTCTAGGGGCTTATGGACACAGAAAGCAGCCAAGTTTAAGCTAACACACACACTCCTTAAGCTGAAATGACAGAAGGCTGCACCATGATCTTAAAGGTATCCTGTTCCAGTAGCATGAAAGGCTATTTAGACACAACGTGACTGAAGTTACTTCACTTTACACTTAAAAATAAAAAGTTTGGTAAATAGGAACACCAAATTAAGCCTTCCCATGCGACTTTCACCCTACCTCCTTGTGCATATATATGATTCATCCCTTATGTAACCAAATAAATACCATACAGACACATCCTGCCTTAGCCCGCACACAAAACAGAAGGCAACCAAGGCAGGTCTGTACCATGGCTGTGACTTATCTGTAAAGCCTCAACTCATTTTGGTTGGTGTTTGTTTGTTTTTTTAAACTAGAATGGTAGAATTTAAAGGAACTCCAGTGCAAGTAAATCTGCTGTTACAACAATGCTACATGTTGCAGAATGATTTGACATCCAGTAAGTTACCGGGATCAGAGATTTCAAAAGCAGTTAACAGCTGTGAGTCATTTTCTGGATGTCCAGCTTGACATTTAGGGCCTGGTTTTTTAGAACACTAAGAATTCAGCTTTGCCTGAAAACAAATGAGACTCTCAAGTTATGCAGTACTTCCAATAAAAAAAAAATTCAGTCTCAGTATCTTGGGCTTGGCCAGCAAGCATCACAGCAAACAAAATCAGTGGTCATTTCCTAAGTTCTCTTCTTAGTCCCTTTGTGCTTTGTCTTTCATTTGCAAAACAAGATTATTTCAGTGTATAAAAAAATTGGTGGAGCATCTGAATTCCTCAGATTCTAGTGTTTATTAGTTTAGTCCAAGCACAAGTAAAATATTCTCTGCTAGGAACATAGCTTGGATGGTGCCCTGCAAAAAAAGTCATTGCCATGAATTTGAAAGTGATCATATGTAACAACAGCATGTAAATTAAAAAAGTTGCCTTATCCACCAAGTAGTATTCATCCCACACAGGGATTATTCATGATTAAAAACTGAAAATGCTCAAGAGCAAGAATTTTGGCTCCTGTCCCTTCAGGAGTCTAATGATAACAGGTTTTATACCTAGGAAGAACTGTTTGAAGATATGTTTATAATTATTCCCAAGCTTTGTACAGATCAAATGACTAATCCAGCTACCTGGTGTTACAGAGGAATGAGGAAACCAACTCCCAGGAGCTATCAGAAGTGTTCCTGCCACGATTTCTGTAATAGTTCAACTGAGCTTTGCTGCGAGCTTTGCTGCACGGTTTACTTTAGAGTCCTGCAGATAACAAAACTTTCTAAAGCTCACATCCATTAAACATCTACCACGTTCTTGCAGAGTTCAGTACTTAAGAGTTACCTTTACCCAGAAAGACGTAAGCTTACTGACGATGAAAAAAGAATGGAAATAAATCACGACCTAAAATTGAGCAAAACTAACTTATCAAACTTGAAACAAATCTAAGCGCAGCTGCAGTTAACATGCAAACACCTTCAGCTCTGAAGTGTTCAAATGATGAAAAAAAATTAAAGATCCAAAAGTCACAATCATAGTCATATAGCTATTGCAAGCTGACTGTACGCTGCAGCGAAGAGCTTTGTTAATAACTTCTGCTGTCAGTCATGGACATAAAGGCTCCAATCAGAGAATGGCAACCAGTTCAGCAAGAAGCGCTGCTCCTCTCAATGACGCTGCCCTTCTCTGCATTTGACTAAAACCATCAGCAGGCTAGATGTCTCCTGTCTTGGAAGAGTAAGGCAAAAGCGTTCATATTCCAGTCATCAGGCCAAGAATCAGCTCTAGTAACCCTTTAAATAAATAGTTTTGAAAGGAAGGAAAGGATAATCACTTCCATAAATTTCTCAACTTTCCCACATTCTTCAGGCACTACACTCCTCTCCCAGTCTTACCTATTTTCTTTTTCTGCTGTCGGCCTGCTGATTCAGTTATTGTTTCCTTCTTCTTTTCCACTGCCAAGTGAAAATAAAGATATTCTATCATTTCTGCATAGGGATACCACCACCCCTTCTTCCACACACCAAACAAAACATTTTATTTCTTTAGAGAACAGAGGCACAAAAGGAAGCTAGGTATGAATAAGAACACGTTCAGAATCAATAAGTTTTAAACCACCATGGCTGAGTCCACCAAACACTTAGAAATAATTTTTAAAAATTTTCAAAACCCTGGATGAGATACCAGAATACTTAAAGGGTTAATATTAAACTCTGTCAAGAGCCCATTACATTATTAACTGAGCAGACTGGGGACAATTTTGGCTCAAATGACCCTTGCTGATTTGTCACTAGTACTAGACAGTACTTTTGATTCAGCAAGTGTAATGAAAAGAGCTTTGTGGCAAGCTCTGCTCCCGATTATCTGCAGTGGGAAGCACAATACAGGACAGCCTGTGTTCTCGTACATCCCTTCTTCACAGGCAGGCATTCTCAGGGGAAATGCTGTCCAAGCAGTCGGCCACAGCCTCTCCATTCTTCAATTAATTAGTACTAAAGCATTTCCAATATTTTAAAGTAGGAGCCTAAGCTCAAAGTTACTAAGGCCCCAAATCAGACACTCAAGCATCTGCAAGCAACTACCACTGCAGCAAAAAAGGCTAACATAAAGCCAGCATAGTGAACTCACAACACAGTAAAATACGCTGCTCATCTGCAAGTACTCCTCTGCTGACAGCAAGAACAACTTTTCCAGAAAGTAAGAGACACTTTAAGACGTATAGTAAGAGTACAAGAAGTGAGGATGACAAATCACAGCTATGGTTGAACAACAGATAGCAACCCTTTTTTACTCTAAATGCTATGTATCTGTACCATATCTACTCTAGCAATGAATAGACTTGGCTCCTTGCCAGTTCACAGAATCAGCTTAGAGACCTCAGCATTAGGACTCTTCTCATATGAGGTACTAGCTCAGCACAGAACTTCTAGCCTTCATTTCAAAGCACAGGTGAAAGACAGTCAGCCTTCCCAGTCACACAAAGATTTTTTAGTGCTGCCCTCTGAAATGCCTGTGATATGCAAGTCAGTTGCAACTGCTATGAAAACCACACTAGCCCAGACAAGATACTACATTCCCATGGAAGATATGATGTTTAGGTAATACACAACTGCTTTTTTCCAAAGAACAAGCATATCTGATGGGCAGGCTAGCACAAGGGGAAAAAACAGGGAAGTCTGCTCAGAGGGAATGCTGGAGAGAGATGCCAGATGACACAACACACCCAGCGCTCAAAGCTCTCCATAACCTTCCTTATGCCAAATCCAGCTGGGAGATCCCGATCAGTCCATCCCAACCTTAGTCCACACAACCCCATGGCCCCCAACTCTAAACCCAACTACAGAACACTTGGACTCTTTTCAGGCCTACCTATTGCTCCCAGACCTAACAAGAGGGCTCCTCCATACCCCAGCTTCACTCTAAACAGCACTATTAAGCCTTATGCCAACCCAGAGGAACTCTACAGACTTAATTCCCTTGTGGCTTGAGCAGAACAAATAACTGTCTCACAAGTTTGTCTGTGGGACCATACATGACATAACACAGCAGCAATTCTAGAGATAGCCTTCAGCCTTGCAAAGTTACCACTACTTTTGCTGCAGAGATTATAGTAAGCATTCTGAGGTAGTCTCAGACAATGCTGTGGGATGAAACTAAGGACTGTGAGTAACAATGAGTAACAAGCACACTACTTGGCCCATCTGTTTTTACAAATCCTAAGTATTGCTAGGACTCTCATGGGAGAGTTTAAAGATCTCAAATGTGTTTTTTCCTGTTTCAGATGTGTTAGATAACAGTTGAAAGGTGTGGCTCAAGTGGTCTACTTTACAAGTTGTCTGCAAGCCATTAGGTCAGCCAGCTGTCCTTAGCACAGGAGGGGGGAAAAAAAGCCAAGCTAAATTTTTAGTGACTCCTTATTTGGTTTTACTTTTTTGTTGGGGGTTGGGAAATCAAACAATTAGAAACTAATTGAAATGCACCAACCTCACATCTTTCCCCTCACAGATTATAGCCTAGATACCAGGAGGGCTATAAAAACAAACAGCATTAAACTCTTACAGCAATCATTAAACCCCAGAGATTGAGCCCTGCTAACTGCTTTCAGAGTTCCACAGCAGAAACACACTGGGACATTAACAAACATTAAAGTTTTCAGCTGGGTTTCAACTACTTCTCTAAACTTGCTCTTTTGGGGCTAATTCTACCCTACAACTTTTTTTCAGCCAAGTGGGATTAGAAGTGAGGCAGGCAGAGATACAATCCTCATCTGCACTGCTGTGATGACAAAAGCCCCTAAATTAGGAGCTGTGACACAAGCATGACTATACTTCAACTCTTCAGTTTGTTTTTCCCAGAGGAAGGCTGGAATAAGCTAGACTGGAAAGAGCACACTTTGATAATATTGTTCTCTCACACACTAAAAGTACTGACATCATGGTGAAATATTTTGAAGGTAAAACCAGCTCAGGTCTGGCCCCAGTTGAGTGCTGTCTCTTACTGCTGCAACTTGTGTAAGGTATATACAATTGAGTTTGAAAGGTCAGCTGAATTTCTCCTCAGCTCCTTGGCTTCTGATACAGAGAAACTCTCCATGCTCAGATCCTCTTGTTTACCATTCCTCTTAATATCTGATGCATATCTTCTCAGCTCCCTTTTCCCTTCCTCCCTTGTCCTTTGTTCAACACCTCACAGGCCTCTCAGACCTCTCTAGGGAAGTAAGCTGGGACTTCTTCCCTAATGAATGTTATTTGTTTCCAGTTTACACTAGTATAATCTATTTTTATGTCAGCTGATAGCTCAGACCTTACTATCATGACTTTGTATTTACTCATTCCCCACCATTAATCATCACTTTTACTCTTTACATATAATGCTGTCCTCTCATGGTATTCATTATTCAACCTTAGTTCTTTCTTACTGCAGATCTCAAATTCTCCACTGCCCTTGAAAAGCGGAAACTGCACCTTTGAACTTATTTCAGGCATCTAAAGGACTCTACATATAGAGACACTGGCTATTCATGTTCAGAAAAAAAGATGCCAGTACTGATCTCTTACTCCCTCCTGCCCTCCATGAAGAGGAGGGGTAAATCAGGTGATGCAATAGGTCTTTGTAGTGACCTTTCCTCCAGCAAAGGACAAGAATTAAGGACACAAGTCAGTCCTCTCAGTACAGATCTGTGTAACTTGTAAAATTAGGCTCCTACAAAATCCAAGCAGAAGAAAGTTCTCTCCCTGTCCTGGTTTCAGCCAGGATAGAGTTAATTTTTAGTTTTAATTGACTACTTAGCAACAACTCAAAACATCAGCATGCTATCAACATTTTCTCATCCCAAATCCAAAACATAGCATCACAATAGCTTCTATGAAGAAAATTAACTCTATCCTGGCTGAAACCAGGACACTACCTTAGCAGAGGAGGTAGCAGGAACTTCTCAGAGCACAGACTCTATTAATGAATAATTTGACATCTGCTAAAGCAGCATGTAACAGGAGCAGCAAGACATGCTTGCTCTAGACATTCTCTAATGTCTGAAAAGTACTTACATTTCTTGCTCTGTTTTTCCACTTCAGCCTTTAATCTCTTGTATTTGTCTGTTCGGTATACCAGCACCCAAGTTATACCTGAAACAAATACTCAGCAAGTAACTAGATAAGTAAAGACCTCTTGCAATACTAGGGATACAAGTTAGCAAACATGTATACAAAAAATACACGTCACATCTACAAAACCACATTATAATACAGCAAAGGTACCACAAGTGACAAGAGAGCTATATCATCACTTTCTTTCAAATCTCCTTCTCAAGTTCCATGTAGCAATGGTGCCTACAAAATAAGTGTCTTTAGAAGTTACTGGCTATCTTATTGAGCACTGCTATTTTGTGGGACTCATTCAGTTCCTTCATGCTCATATTTACCAGCTGTTATTCACCTTAAAACCAGGAGCTGATTAAAGCAATAAACATCTTTGTGTTCTGCATTTTCATAGCACCTAATTAAGGCCCAAAGAATAATTGCCACTCCTACCAGGACCTGCCTGTTAGTAGCAGCACGCTTTAAAAAGGCAAATACAGGTATTAGGCTAGCAGGGACCTCAAGTGATTCTCCAGTCTAACACTCTGCACTCAAACATGACCAAAACAAGTCATGCCACAAGTGCAGAACTTGCTGTTTGTGAACAGTTTAATCTGAGCTCCTACACAAAGCTTTTGACTCTTTTTTTGGCTTTTGTTTGACAACAGGACTGTGCTACTGAAACCCCAGGATCACCAGCTGCAGGGAAGGGAACCCTGTAGATGCTTCGGGGGTCAACACAGCTGTGTGCTGTGAAAGGTGACAGGTGTGTACACCATCTAACCCCAAATGCAATGTAGTGAGACTCCTGAAAAGGAAGTATCATATTCCACCTGGAACTTTCCCTGCCCTTGAATGCCCAGCGATGGTGTCTTGCAGCTCTGGTACAAAGGAGAGTCTGGGATATACCTCAATGCCAGCAAGAGGGAGCAGCCTCTGACTTTGACTACCCAAAAAACTATCTATCCAGACTGTCTTTAAAAAGCTCCACCTATTTCAACACCCTACCATTTAAAAAACCCTTTTCAAGCAACCAGTCTAAGTCACCATCATTACAAGTTCAGGCAATTTCTTTGCATCCTTCCCACATAAAGAAGAGCCACATAAAACCACCAGCGTCCTCTTTCAGGCACACGGAAAACTGTCAGCCCATCCTGCCATAGCCTTCCATCTTCTAGGCCAAACACGCCCAATTCCCACCACTTCTCATCAGAGGTCGGTTTTATTCAAGAGTTATTCGCTGTTGTTCTCCGGAGTGCCTACACCGGTCTCCAAGCACCAGGCCTCGGGTGGCCCCAAGTAACTGAACCTCGTTTCACACCCTCACTGTCCTGCTTTTCCTCCGACACGCGCCCTACCTTCCATTTCGCCCACCCTCCCCAGTGACCCCAGTCCCTCCCTTCAACCCGCTCCCTCCCAGCTCTGAGGGACGAGGCGGCACAGGCGAGGAGCAGCCTCTTGCCAGCCCCCTTCCGGCCACGTCCAGGCCCTCCCCGTGCCTCTCGCGGACGGCACC